AAAATTACGAACGTAAAACATAGTGTAAAACATACATAAAATGCTATATTTCTATTTTTATAACCTATTTTTTTATTTTCCTATACAAAATTTTACGTAGTGAATCAATATGAATATAACTATTTGTCTTCTAAACGTAATTTATTTATGAAGCGATCGTAATATTAGCTCGGGGTGAAGAATAATATACTCTACACACTGGGTGATGAATAGTAACACTATATATATATATATATATATATATATATATATATATATATATATATATATATATATATATGAATCCGATATGGGTGGTGTCTGATCACATCGCACGCACATGAGATGTCCACGACGGTGCAAGTCATGGAGGCAAGGACATATCGGAAATGGATGATGGGGATCCGACATGTGCCCCATGAACACTTGGGCATCGAGTTGGTTTTCTCCCTTGCATGGAATTACTTTTCTCCTAAAAAAAGTAATAGATTTTTCTTCTGATTTGTAGGCTTATTTTGTACGTAAGAGCAAGAATAATTTGGATGTCGAACGCTTTGATCGTCAAAAGTCAAAACACATCGAGAATAGGGCCGTGCAGCTCGACGAAGAAAAGTCAAGTAATGTACTACGGAACGGCAAAACAAATTCAGTAGGCTTGTGGAGCGAACAACTTTTTTTAAGAAAACTCTCTTCCACAATAAGACCGCGGTGGTTATTTCTCTTCTTAGTGATTCCTATGAATCGCCTACGTGTAGGAAATAGTGGGCTGGCCCAATACTGTACATTTCTTTCCCATTGCCTGCAGCCTGGCTTTTCTTCAGTTTTTTGGCTTTCATTTTCCATTTTCTGTGTTTTTTCCTTTGTTTATGTATGATTTCCTTCATTTTTTTCCTTTCAGGTTTTCATCATTTTTTCATTTTTATTTTTTCAACACTTGTCTAATTTTTTCACGCATAATGTACATTTTCTTTATACATAACGGACATTTTTATTACATATGTTCAGCATTTCTGAAATACATGGTTAACATTATTTTAATATGGTTTTACTCTCTATGTTTTTTCTTACACATTTTAAATTTGTTTGTATATATCAAGAACATTTCTTTATACATGTTTAATATTTTTCGAATAGATAATTACATTCTTTAAATAAATGTTTGATGTCTACGTTTTTTCAACACATGTCTACATTTTGTTATACACACTGTACATACTTTTATACATGTTTAACATTTTTATAATATAATATTAACATCTTTTCAGATATAAATTTTGATTTCTAGTTTTTTCTACATATTGTACATCTTTTGTGTACATATGAAATATTTGATTATACGGGTTAATTTTTGTAAATATACATGGTTAAAATTTCATGAATAAAAGTTGGGAAACAAGTATATCTCTTGTAGAAACCTAATAAAAGAAAAGATAATCATATGCATAAAAAATGTGCGTAAGTATATTGTACAAAGAACCAACCATACGTAGCACAGACGGGAACTTCTATATTCAGAAGGCGCGGACATTAAGGGCATGTTTGGGACTGCTCCGCTTCACCAAAGTCAGTTTCACTCCATCAAATCCACTTTGGAGCAGTTTCATACAGAAGTTGTAGCACTACTAAAGAGAATGTTTGGCTTCCATCTATCTCCAGCTTCAGGAATGAGAATTTTGGTGAAAATGTCTATTTGATTTGATTAGGGGGGAGAAACAAAGGGGTATCCAATTACTGGTGGCAGTGATGGGTAATTTTCCACCAAGTCTAGCTTCTAAAGTTTTTTGGAGCAGCCCCTAAAGAACTTCATAAAAACTGTGAGATATACCCTTGATTCTAGTTTTTTTTGTGGAGCGTCATATCGTGGAGCTACCCCATTTGGCTTTTGTTTTCTAAAGCGGAGCTGAATTTTAAGAAGCGGAGCAGTCCCAAACAGGATCTGTTAAAATATTTCTCCTTGACACGGCTAGGATCAAGGTCTCATGGGTAAAAGTGGGAGCGTCTGAAAAATTCTCATATAACAAAGAGTTTAGGACCCAAGACTATGTGCACTGTTTGACGCCGCTGCCGCCGCCTCCTAAAAAAGACCTAGCCGCTCCACCACTCCGTCTCCACCATAGATTGGTTCCCCCTCCTCCGGTCGTCCTTGCCGATGTCGGGAGGGGTGGGGAACCCGATCTATGAGTGGAGTCTTAATAATAGCAGTGTTTTTATTAGATTGGTTTAGGGTTTTGGTAGTCGTCTTCTTCTTTAGAGATGACATCGTCTACAATAAATAATCTTCGTCCCTTCGTTCAATGACGAGATCTGCTTCCCGACGTCAATGGTGGTGTTGGAAGATTAAATTTATCTAGATATGGTCCTTCAGATCTTGCTTCGGCGGATCGGTTTCGGATTTATTTTTTCGCATGGTCGCCGCGAGGAGGATTGTTATCAGTCATGGCTGCTACATCCTCGACAATGGTGATTCGTACTCTCGACTTCCAGCAACGTCGACCTGGCTGTTTAGTTTTTTGTCCCTGGGATACCGGTGTTGGTACTCTTGTCGATGTTGGTTGATTACTTTAATGGCGACGTGTGTGCATCGCAGCCTTGCCATCACGGCTCAAATTAAAACAATAGGAGAACTCTCGTTGGTATTTACAGGTATGTGGTTTGATACTTTTGTTATGTTTCTACGGCTGACTTCTCCCGCAAAAAAAAAAATTCTACGGCTAACTTCAGAAAAGTACAAGACTGTGTGTCATGTTAGAAGAAAGAGTTTTAAGATCTTGAAGATTTGCTCGTTGTAATCAGCTCATGTAT